TCTGCCTTGCTTGTCAGGCCTCTCCTCATGACCTTATCATGGGTGGGATCTCGTGTGCTGGCTTCCGGCAAACCAGCACACGAGAAGATGCTCAACATCACTAATTGTTAGAGAAATGCAAAGCAAAACTACAATGAGGTATCACCTCACACTGGTCAGAATGGCCATCATCAAAAAGTCTATTAAAAAAAAAGTCTATAAATAATAAAGCCTGGAGACGGTGTGGAGTAAAAGGAATACTTTTTTTTTTTAAGGAACACTTTTACACTATTGATGGGGAAGTAAATTGGTGCAAGCACTAAGGAAAACTATATGGAGATTCCTTACGAAACTAAAAATAGAGCTACCATATGATCCAGCCATCCCATTCCCGGGCATATATCTGGAAAAAACAAAAACTCTCTTGTGAAAGGATACATGCACCGCCATATAAACAGTAGCACTATATACAGTAGCCAAGACATGGAAACAATCCAATTGCTGATCAACAGATGACTAGTTTAAGAAGATGTGAAATAGATATATTAGTTCAGTTCAGTTCAGTCACTCAGTCGTCCGACTCTTTGCGACCCTGTGGACTGCAGCATGCCAGGCCTCCCTGTCCATCACCAATTCCCAGAGTTTACTCAAACTCATGTTCATTGAGTTGGTGATGTCATCCAACAATCTCATCCTCTGTCATCCCCTTCTCCCATCTTCAATCCTTCCCAGCATCAGGATCTTTTCAAATGAGTCAGTTCTTCACATCAGGTGGCCAAAGTATTGGAGTTTCAGCTTCAGCATCAGTCCTTCCAATGAATGTCAGGACTGATTTCCTTTAGGATGGACTGGTTGTATCTCCTAGCTGTCCAAAGGACCCTCAAGAGTCTTCTCCAACACCACAGTTCAAAAGCATCAATTCTTCAGCATTCAGCTTTCTTTATAGTCCAACTCTCACATCCATACATAACTACTGGAAAAACCATAGCTTTGACTAGATGGACCTTTGTTGGCAAAGTAATGGCTCTGCTTTTTAATATGCAGTCTAAGTTGGTCATAACTTTTCTTCCAAGGAGCAAGTGTTTTCTAATTTCATAGCATATAGTGCTATGGTCACACAGATGGTAAATGGTGGAACTAGGTTCAAATCTGGACAAGCTAGTATTAGAGCTCATGTATGGGAAGATTTTTCATTCCTCTGGGATGAGCAGCTTCATAAAGCAACTTCTCCATTTAGCATAATAAATTCACACAGTCCCCGGGCTCCTAAGATACAGCCTTCCCTTGTTTCAGATAATGGTGCCCACTAACACCAGGAGTTGATTACAGTGACTGGAATGAGGAGAAGGAAATTAGAAGTGACCGCTTGAAGGAACAATAAGGAAGGATTAATTTGGAAAAGGTTCAGAGAAGGAAGCCACCATGTATGCATCATGTGCCAATCATGTGCGACTCTGCAAGGTGGAGGCAATCCTCTCTCATCAGCTGTTGTGAGCTGGTATCTCTGTGGGTATGACGTCTGTAGCCCCACCCTGAGGGGATTTTAGGAGAAAAGATGGGATGGTTGCTGCCAGTGTTGGAGAGGAACTGGATGAGGTGGGTGGTTTACTGCCTGGGAGTGTCCCACTGGGAGGGAAAAAGACAGATGTTGGCAAGGATAAGCAAGGACTAGAAACAGGTCAGACAATTTCCTGGGAAGGTGGTCAAGACCTCTGGGCCAAATTTTGTGGGGGTTCCTATTTTGAAATGGCAACCCACTCCAGTATTCTTGCCTGGAAAATTCCATGGACGAAGCAGCCTAGCAGGCTACAGTCCATAGGGTCGCAAGAATCAGATGACTGAGTGACTAACCCTTTTACACACTATTTTGAGAGGGTCAAAGTTAAACCTGTGTCTCACAGGATTCTTCCTTCTCTGAACTCCAGGGTTCCCTGGCCTTTTCCAAGAGCTTCACTTTTTCTGCCTACCTTTGCAGAGAACTTTCCATGTGCCAGGACTGTGTTGGTTTTCCTGGGCCTTCAGAAATGACATCTGCTCTCTGGGAGCTCTCAAGTTCTTAGGAGGCAGGATGTCAAAAGCTCATTAACAAAGAGGCTCTGGGGTTGGACAGCCTGCCTTGGGCTCCAGGCTATACGACTTGCTGCTGCGTCACTGTAACAGGTTACCTAACTTTCCTATGTTCCAGACTGCTCACCTGTGAAATGATATTTACCTCACAAAGCAGCAGAGCAAAATCACTTAGCAAACTGCCTAGCTCAGGATAAGCACTCGATACATGTTTCTGTTATAAGCATGAAGTGGAAGGGACAGAACTGAGGTAAGGGGTCTGGGAGCACAGAGGAGGGAGTGGCTAACTGCTTGGAGCAAGAGCTGGTCACTGATGAACTCTTCAAAGGAGTTATTAAAGCCTGGGGCTTTTAGGAGGAAGTCATGGAGAGTTGAGGAGAGTGGGCATCATGAAGATATTGCCCAGGTGATTCTGATATGCTATATCAGAGAACCATTAACTACTCTTTAAAACTAATTTTATATTGTTAAAAGTTACATTTCATAAGCCTTGCAAAATAGAGGAAAAAAATCACCTATACTCTTAATACTCCAATCCATCCAACATTAGTATATGGTGTCCCCATCTTTTTCCTCATGAATCTTGTTTTTGTTGTTTTAATAGTTTTAATTATAGTGCATGTAATAGTTCCTATTTTTGCCTTCCTATGCAATCATAAGAATTTTTACTACATTGTTTTCCTATTTTAAACTTCTTTTTCTAAACATAAGTAATTTATGTTCTCTTGAGAAATTCCCAATCTGAATTGGTATAAAAAAGGAAGTGCAAATTTCAGTAGTCCTACTACTAAGAGATGACCACAGCATTTTTATGTTCTTCTAGATTTTTTTCTATGGAAATGAACACATTTAGACTTTTTAAGTTAAGAAAGTTATTTTAGGTTATTTAATAACCTGCTTTTCACTTAATTACATAAGTGTAGTCATACATAATTGTTCCCAATGACTGCACAGATTCAATTTCATGTCTATATCAAATTTATGTAACTAATCATCTATTGCAGGATTTTAAGTCATTTTTTTTCTGTGTGTGCGTTTCTCCACCTGTGGATTGACCATAATTTACTCGAACATTTAGCTATTTTTGGATATTTAAGTAGCTTTACTTCTTTTGCTTTTGTATAATAAGAAACTATGCATTGAAAAACCTTGAGGAATATGGCTTTCCCCCATATTTTTAATAATTTCCTGGAGTTGAAGTAATGGGTCAAAGGGCAGGCTATTTTATGATTCTGGATTTGTATCATGAAGCTGCTTTCAAAGGGTTGTTGGTATTAATTTAGATACTTTCAGCAATGTATTAGTATCAGATTTTCACCTTCCACCCCACTACCAAAGGAGATAGATGGAGAGGGGATATTTTCCCTAAGCAGCAAATAAGGTGCTCATATGGACCAAAGAGGACAGGATAGAGAGGAGAAGCGAAGAGGGGAGGATGCACACGGGGAATGGAGGGAAGGAGAAAGGAAAAACCAGAGACAGCCATTCGTCTGTATTTTTTTTCCCCATTTGGAAACGTAATTCATGTTCCTTGAAGAAAATCCAAACTTTTCCATATTTACATTTAATATGAAAATCCTCCTCTGGTGACAGTCTCCGCTTACAGTTTAAATATATTATTCCATATTATTTCTTTTACTAATATTAATGTATAACTTATTTTGTTTTTAAAGATCTAGCTTCATACTATACACACCACAGTGCATTCCTACCAGAGATTTTATCTTTTGGCACCTTCTGTGTGCAGATCATTTTTAGTTTAACCATCTAATTGCTTTGCCCCCTTTCCCTGCCAGAGGAGTCACCCTGCCCCTCATTAGTAGTTCCCCGACCTCAGCAGCAGTCCTTTGGAGCCAGTTCTGCCAAATGCTGGCCTTCTGCTGCCTCTGTTTCCCTTTGACCCTGGCCGCTGCTTAGGGGGCCAACCCCAGGCGGCCTGCAGACATTTCCTGGGTCAATAGCCAGTAGCCAAGGGCGAAGGCTGGTAGCTGCTTACGGTCCTCTGGGGACCTCACCTGGGCCCTCCTTGCCTTCCACTTTCAGAACCTCCGTGCCTAAGATTAACCCAACCATTGTTGCCAAAATATCCTGTCCGAACAAAACTAAACCCATCGCCTTGGGGTAGGATTGGCCTGGCTTTGCTGGCTTTATGGCTTCTCTCCGCAGGTCTGGCCACCACCACCAGAAAGCCGTTCCAAGCGCTCTGACCGGCTTTTCCCAGACTTTATTTTGGGCTTGGAGCGCCTCACACCTGGCCTGGGGCGTAGCCCCCATGTGATGCCTGCAAGCCCTGGCCGCCGGGTCTGACTCAGTCTTGCAGCTTCTGCAGAACCCCTTGTCAGCCCCGTGACTCAGTTTCTTCATTTGCTCACGCGTGCCAATAGCATGAGGCACTTATGCGGAATGCGGAGGTGCCTCCGATAGCTTCTCCAGAGTACGTGCTCCCAGGCGAAGCCCCAGGGATGCGCGTTTACACCGCCCAGAGCTCTCGTTCTGGACGTGTCCTGCACTGATCCTGGTAATGAGTCCGTGCTGCCTGGGGTGGCAGTGACTCGGCCAGGTGCACTGGCAGGAGTGCTTGAGAGGCATCCTCCCGGGACCCGCCCACCACGGTTCTTGAAGGTGCCAAGGCATAAAGGGGCTGACGGGGAGACGACCAGTCCCCGCGTCCGTGCCCACTGACGGCCGCCTGACGCAATCTGAAGTGCCCTTGCTGCATGCCTGAGCTGGGAAAACGTCCTCCGCCGTTGCATCACTCCTGCCAGGTTTGCTACAGAGGTGGAGTCGAACCAATCAGCGGGCGCGCTGGGCCCGGGGCAGGCCACGTAGTTACCCACTCAGAGGGCGGCGCGGTTAACCGGACAGGAAACTCCGAAGGTGATTGGTCAAAAGGGAATTTGCCCCGCCCCAATAAACGCGAAAGCTGGCTGCGAGAGGTGGGGCTTCCCGGCCGGAGGGTTTAAAGAGCGCCTCGGACAGGGCCGCGCAGCTGGAGCGACCAAGCGGTGCCAGGCCAGGTGTGCGCGTCGGTCGGTCCTTCCGTGCCCGCGCCGGAGACCAGCCCCGGAGGCCGCCCGGGCCCGTCCCTGTGCCCGGCACCATGAAACAGGAGCCTGCAGCCCAGAAGTCCCCTTGCGCCTCTCCGCCCTCCTCACAACCCCTCTCCGAGGACGACGACCCCCAAGCGTTGTGGATTTTTGGGTACGGCTCCCTGGTGTGGAGGCCCGACTTCGCCTACAGCGACAGCCGTGTGGGCTTCGTGCGCGGCTACAGCCGCCGCTTCTGGCAGGGAGACACCTTCCATCGCGGCAGTGACAAGATGGTGAGCATCCGACCCTGTCCGGGTGAAATGACGGGGATTGGGGCAGGATAGTGGGCGCTGCGCTGGTGCTCTGGAGTATCCGGGCCTATCTGGGCTGACAGTGACTCTGTCCTGATGGGGGAAATGGGAGAACCTTGCAGGACGTTGTGGCTTAAATTTGTGTGCCTAGTGGGTCACTGTGTGATGGCTAGAGTCTGATCCTGTGGAGCATCTTGTTGATGAATATTTCTGATGACCAATCTGGTTCACTGCCATATGTCTACTTCTCTTACATCCATGCATCGCTCCTTCCACTGCCGTCCCCCACCCCACCGCCCAGCTCCCCAAGAGTGGGGCTATCTGAGGCCTGAGATAGAAGGGTTACTAAGGGTTTTCTCTACCAGTGATGGCCAAACTCATTTCTAACTTGTTTTCTTTTTCAAAATCTCTCTTCCCTCCCTAGCCTGGTCGTGTGGTGACCCTCCTTGAGGATCGTGAGGTAAGTGCCAGAGTCAAGAAAGAGGCCCAGCATGGAGGGGTGCAGACGGGCAGAGCTCATGGACCCTTGGCCGCAGGCTAGATTAGATAGATACCCCTCTGGCTGAGGGGAGGGTTGAGTCTGGATAAGTGCTTCCCACAAGAATCACCTGAGGATCTTGTTAAAACATAGATTTTAATATAAGATTTAGAGTGGCCTGAAACGCTTTCCTAACAAGCTTACAGGTGATGCCATTGTTTCTCAGACCAAACTCTGAGCCACATTTTTGTTCTCCCTGGGGCTAGTCAGCCTTCCCAACCCTGATTAAGGGAGGTTGAGGGTTTGCTGTATTGCTGCTAGAGGGCTCATCCGCAGTCTGCCCACTTCCCTTATGGAGCACAGTCCTGGGTGGGATCAGAAGGAGCTTCGTGACTGATTCCGGTGCCCGTATTTTCTCCCAGGGCTGCACTTGGGGTGTGGCATACCAGGTGCAAGGCGAGCAGGTGAGCGAGGCCCTGAAGTACCTAAATGTGCGGGAGGCGGTGCTCGGCGGCTACGATACCAAGGAGGTCACCTTCTACCCTCAAGATACCCCTGACCAACCACTCAAGGCATTGGCCTATGTGGCCACCCCGCAGAACCCTGGCTACCTGGGTCCTGCCCCCGAGGAGGCCATCGCTACACAGATCTTGGCCTGCCGAGGCTTCTCCGGGCACAACCTTGAATACTTGCTGCGCCTGGCGGACTTCATGCAGCTCTGTGGGCCCCAGGCTCAGGACGAGCACCTGGCCGCCATTGTGGACGCTGTAGGCACCATGCTGCCCTGCTTCTGTCCCACTGAGCAGGCGTTGGCACTGGTCTGAGGGGCTGAGCTCCTGCAGGGGGTGCCTACATGGACACAGGGGCCAGGTCCCCACTCCAGTGCACACAGACAGACTTAATACGGTTGGAGCTCACCGAGAGGACTCGGTGGGCCGATAGGGGCTTCTCTTAAGTCCCTGCCTGTCTGCCAGCCCCCAGATCTCCTGCCTGACACCAACTTACTACTTGAAACTTTATTTATTGCACCATGTTGGTGTGGTGGGCAGGATGGGGGGCCTGCCCTAGGTACAGGGGAGCTGCTGAGCAGTGCCCCACCCCAGGTGCCTGGTGCCTGGCTGGAATCCCCCCAGTGCTGCTACTGTCCCCATACTACCCAGGCCTCCATCTTCCCAGGGAGCCTCCAAGAGCCTTGACCGTCTGCCCACCCCCTCCAGACCAGCCATTCCCCAGCCCCAGAAACACCACCTGCCAAGGGTCCCAGCCTGCTGGTGAAAGTATAGAAAGGAGTGAGGAGAGGGAGCCCTATAGGATCTTAAGCCCTGCAGCCTGTTCATCCTCTAGGTCCCCAGGGCAGGCTGGCTCTGGAGCCCAGACACAGCTGCTGAGGCTGAGCCAAGACCTCTTCCCCATTTGGCTTTGTTTCCCTGTTCCTCTGTCTGTCTGTCTGGGCTACTTCTGTCTGTTGGTCTGTTCCTGGGAAGCTTATCACTGTAGGTAGGCCGTGGCCCCCTCCCAGTCTGTCCCATACTGTAATCCATAAACTGACCTCATTATCTGTGCTGTGCTGGAATATGATTCTTTCTTCAGGTGGGGGTTTGGGAGAGTGAGGGGGTGCGGCCCCAAAAGACCCATTAGAGGGAGAAGGGCTCCCTCTTCAGCCCCCATGTTTCTCCCAGAGAGGGACTGCTGAGCAGGCAGAACTGTGGGGTTCTTAGTGCACATGAAGAATGCCCCCCAAGGCATGCAGATTCTGCCTGGGCCACTGCACTTGGCAGCCCTGTGAGTAGTCCTTGCCAGTGGCCTGGTAGCCTGCGTCTCCCCCTAGCTGCTCTGAAGAGGTGGACGGGTGTGGAGTTCACATCAGGTCTCCCTCCAGTTGCAGGGTCAGCTGCTGCCTCTTAACAGTGAGGCTAGACCTCTGGCTTCCTGCTGAAGGAGCCACGTGGGTTAAAAGGGCTTAAAGGGCAAGGTGATGACAACTTGTGAGACAGTGCAGGCCTGGAGAACCTGGTGGCCCTTTGAGTTCTGAGGTCCAGGAGCTCATTCTCCTCTTGGGCCTTGGTGTGGGCTGTGCCTTCCCCATCACCCTGACCTACCTGCCAGGACTCAAGTCCAAAAGGGAGCAGTGGCTGGGCACCCCCTCGCCTGCTGTTTGTTTGCCATCTGCCTGCCTCTGGCTACTCTGCCCTCCCCCAGCCCTCTACCCCCCCACCAAGTGCAAGTCCCAGACCCCAAGATCTCAGCCTGGCCCTGGGCTCCTCAACTGGGAATGGCCCCTCAGTGGATTTACCCTTTACTCCTGGACCTGCAGAATGGGTGCAGGGGCCAGATAAGGCTTTTGCAGCAGAAGAGCCTGGCTGTAACCTGGCCTTTTCCTCACTTGCTCAGTGACCTCCAGGAAACCATTCCGCCTCTGAGCCTCTGTTTACCCTGGGATGCTGTGTGGTGGGTGTTGCCGCCACTCTTGTTAAGGCTGGTGCCCTGGTTTGGTCTCAGTGTCCCCAGCAGGGTCAGCTCCGGCCAAGCTGGGCAGCCGTTGTGCCTGGGGAGAGTGCCCATGTGTTGGCAGCCTCATGTCTTGGTCATTGATGGGATAAGTGTGGAGTCTAGCCAGGTTCTTCTGGGAGCTCAGTCAGGACAGCACAACAGGAGGAGGTGACGGGAGGCAGGGAACCCTGAGCAGCTGCCTCTTGTGGCAGGGCAGAGCCAGCCAGCCAGTCTGGGTGCTCACATCAGAGCCTGCTCTATATGAATGGGGGTGGGGAAGGTCGCTTGCCTGCTGCACGTGGTCTCACATACTTCAAGTCATTCATTCAGCAAGTATTTACTAAGGTGCTGCTACACGCCATGCACCAATTTAGATACTGGAGATACAACAGAGAAGAGATCCTGCGCCTCAAATACCTCTGAACGGTGACCATTCAGCCTGAAATGTGTCATGATGGGAACAGGGCACTCAGTGTAGAAAGGGCTTTTGACCCAGGTCGAGGGGAGGTCAAGGAAGGCTTTCTGGGGGAGAAATGAGGTTGAGAAGGGGTCTCTAACAAACAGAGGCACGGAACAGCTTGTACCAGAGGGGTGCAAGATCAGCCCTGCTGGGACAGTGCTGTGGGGAAGAGGGCATGGGGTGGGATGGGTGGCAAGACCTCATTTCACTGGCTGCTCTGGTGAGCTGTGCTGTGTAGGTGGCATTCCTCCTGGGTTAGTGAGGGCCCCCATGGATTCTGAGTGGGGAAGAGGCTACTTAAAAGGAACTCTGGCTGCTGTGTCAGACTGGAGGAGGAAGTCAAAGGACAGGGAGAGGGAAGGAGGCTGGAGCTGTGGGGTGCAGTGGGAAAAGACAGGAGGATAGATTAGAGAGCCGTTTAGATAGTGAGGTCAGCAGGATTGCATGTGGCTGGTTGATGAGGAGAGAGGGAGAGAGTCGAGAGCCGGGGTTCTCGGTGCAGTAGCAGCCTTGGAAAGGTGGGGGTGGAGATCTGCCCCGATGTTTGCCTTGGGGGCGCCTGTGGGGCAGCTGGATATGTGGGGCTGGGACTCAGGAAAGTCACATGGGTTGGAGGTAGAGATTTGGGAGCTCTACCCATCAAGACAGTGCTTGAAGCATGGGAGCAGAGAGAAAAGAGAACAAGCCCCAGGCCAACCTTGAGGCCTCCGGCCCTGGTAGGGTAAGCAAAGCAAGAAGGGCTGGGAACAAGCAGCCGGAGAGGCAGGAGGAGAACCAGGAGAGCGTGGTTTTCTGAGAGCCAGGGTCACACTGCTGAGATGTCAAGGGAAATGAGACCAGAGGAATGTCCACTGGGTGAAATGCCAGGGGGTCCTCAGTGGTGGGGCAGAGAAGCTAGTGAGAGGGAAGTAGACAGCTTCCCAGAAAGTTGATTCCTGAAAGAAGAGAGAAGCTGAGGAGTGACTGAGAGTATGGAGAAGGCATGGAAGTCTGAGGACCCCAAGAGCTTCTGTTGATGTGGGATATAGCAATTGACAACATTTAGTGTATTAGGGATTGAGAAGTGTAAAACATTTTATCAAATAAGAAAAAATGTGTTAACATATTTTAAGGAAAAATGATTCTACTTTTTTAATGGAAGCAGCTGAATTCTCATCCAAATTCACGTAAAGCTCTTGAAAACTCTGCTGTACCCTTGTGAGAAAATGAGAGTGAAAAGGCAAGTAACCTCTTAGTAGTGTTATGAAAATCGTTTTGACCTCACAGACCTCCAGAGAGGGTTTTGAGAACTCCCAGGAGTCCCTGGGCCATTTTTATTTATTTATCTTTTTATTTTCTTTTTTAGTTGAAGGGATTTAAGCAGGATGGGTGCCCAACCTGGCATTCAGGGATTCAGGAGTTAGCAGGGATCTCGGAAATCATGGCTCAGTGGTAAAGAATATGCCTGCAGTGCAGGAGACATACGAGACATCGGTTCCATCCCTGGGATGGGAAGATCCCCTGGCAAAGGAAATGGCAACCTGCTCCAGTATTCTTGCCTGGAAAATTCCATGGACAAAGGAGCCTGGCAGGCTACAGTCCATAGGATCGCAAAGAGTCCCAGAGGGTCTCAAAGAGTCCGACATGACTGAACGACTGAATGCACACACAGAAATCATCATTTTGTCCATCATCCCTCAAGGGCATCCTTCTGGAGAACAGGGGATGAGTAGGAAGGATCAGTCAGTTCACCTGCAGTTTATTGTGTCTACAGCAGGCTGAGGGGCCCTGGACCTCCAGCTGTGGGAGACAGACTAGCAGAGTCTCCCTCACACCTAGCCTGGGGCAACTCCAAGCTCAGGGAATGGGGCAGAGGCACCGGGTCAGGGAGGGCCTTAAGGAAGCTGCTGGAATCCACGGACCGGAGGCACACTCCAGGTTTGTGGGGATGGCGTCAGCAAATGAGGAAGGGACAGCAAGGAAGAAGCCTGTGGGTGTTGGGGACAAGGTGGCAAGCTACCTTTGAGTCAGTCCTTGGAGGAAGTGTTAGACTTTATCTTGCAGGGAAGTAGAGTTCTGTGGTGATGTTTTTGTTTTTCCTCCCACAGAAGGGTCTTTGTTTTTGTTCTTTTTGTTTTGTCTGCTTGTCAAGCAGACAAGTGTTGTGTTCAGGTCTGGGCTTAAGGAGGTTTGTGCTTGTGGCAGGGGAAGGCCGCGATGCGGGCAGGGGCTGGGGAGGGCCAAACTAAAACCAGGAGCAGGAAATACGGGGACACCTCCTGGCAGCCAGTTGAAAACGAGGGGTAAGCAGGAGGGAGGAGACTGGGGATCCCAGGGTTTTGCTGGGCAATACAAGGGCACGTGAGAAAACACGACTCCAGCCTGCAAGCACCTTTCTGGGGCTGACAGGCTCTGAGGGTTCTCCAGGTGGCCCCCACACTGGGTCCCAGGAGGGAGATTGTTCCTCTTAGGGCTGTCATTCCTCTGAAGACAGTGATGGCAGAGACTCAAAATGAGCTGGACCTCGAATGGGGGACACCTTGTCTTTCCCTGGGCCCGGCTCCGAGGAGGGTCAGGGTGCTCTGGGGCCAGGTTGCGAGGACAGGTGACAAGGAGAGTGTCACTGTGGGCCTGGGTGGGAGCACGAACGCCAGCCTCCTGCCCCACCTCTGGGATGAACACACATCCCAGAGTGCCCAGTAGATAGTCGACAGGCCTAGTTTGCTCCTGTTGTTCTGAGGTAGTTATTACTTTCACTCTCAGGAACATCCAGTTTTGCATAGTTTAAATTGCATGGTGGCTGTGGGATCTGGGACCCAGCAGGTTTTTGCTGTTGTTGTGAGGTTTTTATTTGTTTTGTTTAGTTCTGACTTTTAGCCATGCAGGATCTTAATTCCCCACCAGGGCCTGAGCCCACGTCCCCTGCAATGGAAGCACCCAGCCTTAACCCCTGGCCCTCCAAGGATGTCCTTGAGCAGGGCTGCTTTCTCTGGCGCCTGTCAGAGGCAGTTGACCAAAGCCCCTGACCACCCCTGTCCCCTGCCCTCCTCCCCCTGTCCCTGGACCCTCGGCCCCTGCCCAGGGGTGTGAGGGCACCACTCTTCTCTGCCTTTTCTGGGTGCCCTTGGAGAGTGCTGCCAGGCCTGTGCTTCCTGGTTCAGGGTCGCCCGGGCATTCTGTGGGTGTGAGGGAGAGCAGACACACCCTGAAGGCCTCTCCCATCACCGTCACCAGCCCTGCCCCTCCAGGAAGGAGAGGGTAGCAGGGGTGCCCACACCTTCCCACTTGATCAGGGCCCTTGCCCTGCAAACACTCCTCAGGGTAGACCCCTCCCCCCACTACCACCCCTCCCCCGCAGGAAGGTAGAGCCCCGGGGTGAGCACCCCCCTCAGTCACCCTTAAACATGAGTCTCCCAGCCCTCCCACCCCCACCCTAACACTTGCCTCTTTCCCCAGATGACTGTCACGCCCTCCAAACTGATCCGTGTCCCCAGTTCAGTGCCCTCCTGGATACTCACCTTCTACACAATTGAAAATGCAACTCTGACCACCACACTTCCCACTGACGAATCCCCATGGCACAGTGTGTCCTTTGGGGTAGACGTCCCCACCCTGCCCCCTCCCTCCTG